TGTAAATATGACTGGAATTCATTTTCAAGCCACAGTAGACATTCATCTTTTATGTCAAAAAATAGAATTATATTATGATTTATAGAATGTATGTAGAGTTTTTAATTAAAAATGTCACATAATCTTTACCATTTGTACATTATTTTCATGAATTTGATTTTTGCGCCAGAATTTTCAAATTGATATATAGCTTGTGACACTGGAAATTTCACCTTCCCCACAGGCTACGTGCCACTCATAATGTCACACGATCCTTTATATCCGTGATGAAAAATCTTTTCTGGATGCGGACCACTAGTGAAGTTATATGCTTCCGGCAGGCCACAAGCATTTTTTCTTGCGGAATTGCAGGTCTTAAGCTATCTGGTACCAATTTACTTCACAATCATCAGTACAGTAAGTATTAAAATACTATATGCTAACTAGTAATATATACAGTGGTGATATTCAGCGGGTTCGCACAGGTTCGGCCGAACCCGTTGTTAACATTTTCAAAGTTTTCCGAACCTTGTTAAACACATGTAACATTTCTCAGTGGTTTTGTTTCTTTTAAAAAATATATTAAAATATACTTATTATACTGTGTAACACTACTAAACTAGAGCCTTATACCCCGTTCGCCGTATGGCCGAGAGGTCAAGGTGGCAGCGCGCGAGAAAATACAAAATGGTTGCGGAACACGTGTCGGGCTATCGACAGCGAAATAAAAAAGATATTGTATTTCGAGAGACGATGACATCTGTCTATTATTAGATATATCGCAAGAAAAAGTATTGTATTTATTTCTAACCAAAACTTCCATTTTGTTTCTCGGTGTTCGTGACTTACCGCGTAGTTATGTCAATTTTATCATCGTGTGTAATATATATCTTTTTTATTTATATGGATATCTTAAGGTCAGTTTTTGCGCTAATGTTGCTAATGCACCATTTAAGCGAAAAAAAATTGTTAAGGAAAAATTTTCTGTTAGCGAACCCTTTATTAAATATTTCGAATATCACCACTGAATATATAGTTTGTGGCCGGATGGCCGAGCGGCCAAGATGGCAGCCTACTGCTCTGAGAGACAGGGCTCGAATCCGAACAGGTCGAAAAATCTCCAGGAAATTTTCGGGGGGTGGTCCGTTCGGATATGTCGGGCCCCGTCCCTCACCTCTCGGCAGCCCCATTGTGGGCATGGCTGAACCCATAATGGGCTTGCAAAAGAGGCCCTCTTAGTGCCCACAGGGCGGAAAGAGTTTTAAAAAAGTAATATATAGTTTATTCTCGTTTTTTTACTGGTCAAGTTTCGTTTGAATGTTCTTCGTGACGAATATCGACTTAAAGTTGCATAATGGCTCGAAACAGAAAAATAAAATTACGTTGCCAAACTCCAGAAGCTGCATATTGGGACCGCATGCGCTCCGCGAACCACGTGTTGCTCATGACCTGTCTACATCTTTATATTACCGTTGAAGGCAGTCGTTTTGAACGTTCGCTAACAAAATAAAGCGTACTTTTTGTATCAGTTTCTGCAATATTGTCTTTATTATTTACAGTCGGATATTATTTGTATGTTAAATATGTGTAAATATGTAATGTATGCTCAATCGTCTCAAATTGATTCCTTCGGTTATTTTAGCGCTAAAATAAGCATGCACCGCATACATATCCTCGTACACTCTGGAAAGATCTCTTTTGCCCATGGCTAGAAGTTTGTGGGCACATTGGATAAGAAAAATATTAATATTTTTTGTTTCTTTTGACTAGGAACGGTTAACTTTAAATAAACGTATAGTATTTGTTTTAGGTAGTTTTTACGATTTGTTTTTTTCCGATTACACATTATTTTGCAACGTTGCAAAATGATAAGTTTTGAAAAAAAAATGCAGTTTTGAAAAAAATGGTCTGAATTATAGTTAGCCAATAATATGACGAGAAAAAGTATGTTATCTAATGGCATCACTTAAACTGAAATATATTTAACAGAAATAATAGATTTTAAATTTTAATTTGGTGGGCGTAAAGTGTATATTTATATTATTCATCTATTAATCCAATTATTTAACCAAAATACTGGCTGTAAACCGTACGATTACTGTGATTATTTTTTAATTCGTTTGTGATTTTGTAATTTTTTTTATCTTTGTTACAACTGATAATTTTTATTTTATTTTTAAATCTTTTTGTAGACTACGTTTGAGATGTTTTTATTCCTTTTTTCATTCAACATTAAATATACTTAAAACAAAAGAAATTTTTAATATATCTACCTGTAGAATTTTATAACAATTAAAAATTTTAAAGTTAGCAATTTAAAAATTTTGTTTAAATTTCTATGTCATCATGGATGTGAAGAGGCTAGACTCTAAGTATTGGAAAACTCTTTACCATATTTTCTATATAAAACTAAAATTTTTACTCACTTTTTTATTTAAGTTTTTTTTTACTTTCTGATCGTTTTGTCCTATGTCCATCATGAGGATCTCTTTTCAGCAAGCACATTATGGGTTCAACCTGGCCCACAAAGTGGCCTCTGAGTGGCGAAGAACGGGCCTATATATCCCGATAGACAATTCTCGAAAATTACCTGAGATTTTTCGACCCAGAATCCACCCAGAGCGGTAGGTTGACACCTTAAACGCTCGGCGATTTGGCCGTCTCTTTCATCAGCTATCATAATAGACATAACGAAAATTCATCTGTGGTGCATTTTCATTACATCTGGCATCGCGTCTCAAGTCGATAGAATTGAAAAAAATCAGTCTATATGTTGCCAGGAAAATAAACAAAACATGACGATATTCTATATATTTTGCAATTCAGTTACAGAGAAAATGTGGAAAAGAATGAAATGAAGTTATCATTAAAATTAAACTAAGAAAAATGAACTTCATTTAATACACGAGTCAATGTCAATATAATGCTTTCAATGTCAATATAATTAAATGAAATTCTTTTCTTACATAAAAATAAAATAAATTCGACTGGCAAGAATGGTTCATTAATATCAATTTTAGCAAAAATAGGTATAGTGGAACCTGATTAACTCAAAGTCGCGTTTACTCGAATTTATTTTCTTTCCCCGATCATTTAGCATTGTGATTTACATGTTAAATCAAACTGGTTAACTCGAATTCGTCGAACTGTAATAACTCGAATGGATTTTGATACAGTATCTTCACAAACTCTTCCGGAATTTTAATTTTAATTTTTCTTTAAATAAAATTATTAACGTTAAACCAATCAGAAACTTTTTATAAAGTGCGGGAACCACATATGACTAAAAATAAACATCATATCATGTGACGACGGGTGGGGGCTTCCAGAAAATGTGTGTGACCTAGACAATATAACTACCATTCGAACCTGAAGAGCCCTAAAAGGGAATCCGAGCAGAAAACTCCAGAAATTTTTTGTGGTCTGTCTGTTCCGGTTATGCGGCTCTATCCCTCACCACTCAACTGTTCCATTGTGGTCCTGTTGAAAAAGACTCTTATGACCCATAGGGCGGAAAAAGTCAAATTAAAATAATATATTATGCAATTAGTTTATAATATAGGTGATTATGACACGAATGGAAGTTTGGCACACGATTGGAGCGAGTGGACCAATTTCCATGAATACCATAATCGATAATTATAAACGAATTATCATACGGTATTTTATGGTTAGACAACACCTATAACATTATATTTATGGAACTCAGATCATGTATAAACACAGTGTATGTGTCATGAAATATTCCTTTGATATAATAATAGAATTAAACATAAACATTAAAAAATAGCATCAAATATTTAACTTAGAACATTTTTATTCGCTCTTCATTTAATGACTTAACTTTAATGCTGTATTTAACAGCAAAGAATAGCATAGTCGGAGTATTGTATTTAACTTATTTTTCATGACATTCCGATCCAGCCATTTCTTGCGTAAGATTTCTGTACAGATTACTTATACAGTTAATTTATAATCCACGACGATTTCAATGCCGGAGAGATACATTTGACCTAAATTTTTTTACGCTTTCAATGTCACATATTAATCACATGACAATAATAATTATATTATATAAGCTTTAGACAATTTTTAGTAACTTCAAAGACGAACCATAAACAAAAAATAATTGGTTACTAAATCCGCATCCTTCTTCTAATCGCATCATTATTTTAATTGCTGTTAAATTTTTAAAATAAGAAGCAAAAACAAAAAGAAATTGCTTAACGTAGAAAAATGTTTAATTAATTTGTAAAAATTTAAAACAATTAATAGAGTATAACAATCAAAAAAACCAATGCTTATTTCCTTTTAAACTTTGTATTGACGTTATGACTCACGCAGTGAGTAATGATAAACACTGTAATAAATTACCAAAGTCTATCAAAGTGTTTATGCCTCGTTAAATACGAATTATTACAGATTTCTTAGCATCGATAATTGACTTTTGAAAACTTTTCCCTTTCTTTATTTTCCATATTTTTGTTACAAGATGAGAATTTCGTAAGTTTGAATTTGTTTTGGTATAATCCATTATATTTATGTTTAGATAACCAAATGATATGACTAGTACTGTACTGTGTACACTTAAAAATGAAAGAGGTGATTTAGTTTTGTAACAGGACTATTTATAAATTATTTTCCTCATACTTTTATGTAGTTTTATGGTAATACTTTTGTAGATTCTGTATAGAGATCAAGGCATGTTTTGAATTTAGAAACAAAACTGAAATTTATTTCATTATGTTAACTAATTTAGAAGTCAAATTTTTGCTTATTTAGTGAATTTTCTTCCTTTATCTTATTCATATATTAAATACAAACCATACTTTTGTTATTCAATAGATTTAGAAAAAGAAATGAAAACTTTAATAAGTTGTATAAAATGCTTTATATAATTTTATATAAATTTTCATTACAGTTTAATAAATTATTAGTCTTTTTATAAATTCTTCCTTNTAGAATATTAATAAAATTAGACAATTTATTAAGATTGGATTTAAAGAAAAAAAAACGAAAAATAAATTTTGTGTTTTGTTTTTGATAACGAGATTATAGCCAGAACATAAGCAGACGAACGATGGCGTCTACTGGTTATAAAGGAAAACGTATCAAAATGGATTGCAATAGTAAAATAAGACAATCAGGTAATGTATTTTCGTCTAAAGTTCTTAAAATGCGTATATTTAAACTTATAATCTACAATTGAGAGTCATATTCTTAATGAACACGTAAATTGACGTCAAGACAAGTAGAACAACATTTAAAGTTAAGCCTAGCGATCAACAAAAAACAAGAGCGTTTTTATAATTAATTGTTGCATATCACGAAAAAGTTTTCTTCCACTTTGTTTTGTTTCGCTTGATTTTATTCGATTGACTTAATTAAACAATCGAATAAAATCAAGCAACAAATCAATCTCTTATTATATAAGTTTGATGGTTTTTTTTTGGTTGTTGTTGACGTCAAACAATTTTCATTTTAAAAGTAGGCTTAGTTTGAAAGGAAGAATAATTAATTTTTTTCAGTGTTTTAAATAAATATTAACGGAGGTAAGTATTAATAAAACTATAACGTTTCAATTATATATCTGCTTATTAATAATTTTTGGATTTTGTTTAATTTTTGCTGTTTAATGATTTAGTTTCATTATGAGAAATATATGCATAAAATGATTCAACTTAATAATTTAAGTAACTTGTAAATTGTATATTTGGGTGATATATACCAATTGAATATGGAAAGATTTCATGAAATTTGTGATGTCATTTCTTCTCTTTTATGTCACTGATGTTTGCTGATGGTAGATTTAATTCTGGTAAATATTTTGATATTTCTAATAAATACAGGAAAATACAGTATTATTGTGAATTATGACTGTAATGACTGGTGCTGCCACCTGCTTCTGGTGGAACTATCCTGATGGTGCCTTCGTTTTACCCTGATTACCCTAAATTGAAAAACTCTCCAAGCTTGTGCTTGCATTAAAAAAAAATAAGATGAACGAGTCTACGACACCTTATTCCTGTACTATTATTGTGAAATAATAATTGGAACAATTCTTAACTTCTTGTTTTTAAAAATCTTAATAACTAAAATGTCTTGGGATTTTTAGGCTTTATCAGTGGTATTAATTTACATCTGATATGGAAAGTGCCAATGGCCCAATGGCTTGAGAAAAGCGAAATCTTACTTGGGTGTAATAAAGCAGATTGGTGCTTACTTGGGTGTAATAAAGCACCAATCTGCTTTATTTTTTTAGCTTCTGTTGTCCTATCCTAAAACCTTCCAGTTATAGGAGAAAACAGAGCTGTTTTAGGCTAAAACTTTTTCCAGCAAAACTTGTGGTGCGATGGGTGATACCATCAGATCTCAGGAAGATTTACCCTAAAGAGAAGACTACCCTAAACATTACCCTGAGAGGTTGAAATTACCCTAAAAATGGCAGCACTGGTAATGACACTGTGTACAAATACAATTTTCACTTATGTGAAAAGTAATATTGAATCATTATATGTACCATAAAACTTTTATTAAAAATAGATGAAATAATACATCAAATATTTTGCAGAATTAAATTTTGCGTATCAGTTTTGTTCTATTTTTTTTTCTTGTTTCCTTAGATTATGTAATTAATAGGTCGTACTTTATATTTTAAATAAAATTTGGAACAGTCAAGAATTTGGATTATGGAAAAATCTTTGGAAGTTATGATATTTGCTTTTAGATAAATTCATTCACATATTGACAGAACTGATCACATATCAAAACTGAATTTTATGAAGTGTCAAAAATATTCAAAAGCTTAAGTTATAATAATCTGCTTGTTTGATTTTCAATTTTGTTTCTTGGGCATTAGATAGATAAGTTCTGAATTTTAATTTTTTGAATAATTAATTTAATATTACTAGACTTCATTCCACAATTTGATTTCACGATGAATTTAAAATTCATTGAAAACTTAAAAACAGTTTTTCAGATACTTTATGAAAATATTTGCTATTTGCAGTATATAGTTTTTAATGTATGATGAAAAATAATATTTTTGTAATTCCTAAGTATTTAGATTAAGAGTATTTCCTCAGATATGCCATAAATTAAAAAAATTTACCATATGTTTTAGTTTTATACAAATTAATTTATGGCACAAAACATAAGGAAAGGTTCTTTTTTAAATATTAGAATCTAATCTAATCAGTTTTTTGGCAAGGAAACAATAAATTTATGAAGCAAACTTCAAAATTTATAGATAGAATACATTTGTAAATTTACACTTGCATTATAGATTTATGGTTTTACTGCACAAAATGTATTTTTACGTTATAAAAGAACTGTTTCCTTTTTTCTCCTACAAATTTCATATAAATTTTAAATTGTAGGAATTAGATTTCTACTTAATTTGGCTCCTACCATTAATTTTTTTAATTTTATATTTATAAGAGATAATGCATGATAAACTAGATTAAATGGATATGAAAGAAGGAATTTTATATACAGTCAAACCCAGTGGCACACAAGATTTAATCTTGGAGGAGCTAAGTTGAGTGAATTAAAAAAAATTTTAATGCAAACTCAATAAAATTCCCACCTTGTGTGACTGCTAATTTATAAGTAATATAGAAATAGAACACATGACACAATACAAATAAATATAATTAATTTTAGTTAGTAAATTTTCCAAAAATATTTTCCTGTTTTTTTTCCTTTACTTTGGAGATGCCAGGGTCCCTTGGTCCACCCTCTGGGTGTGCCCTGGTCAAACCTTTGCTTTTGAAAGACTCACTTTTTGAACAGATTGGTTCATTAACAGAATTTCAAACTTATATTTGCCCCAGTTGCCATATGATAACTTGGTTGCTGAACAAGCTACTTGGCAAGACTGACCACAGATTAGAGAGACACAGACAATCCCTATACTTCCTATGTTAAAGAAAGTCGACTGCCCAACCAATCAGTGACAGGACTACTGACTCAGAAGTTAGTGGCACTGAGATCTCGCACATCATTAGACATCACAACATGAATCATTGATGCTGTTGCTATTTAAATTAGATTTCTAAGCATGTGTGGAAAAGATACTACAATCATTATTTAGTACATGCCAAATTTGATTTTATATTAACAAAAACCACCTTGACATTCACATAATATGAATAGCATACAAGATTTTGTCTTTAAAGGTGCTTAAGTCAAATTAAATAACAAAAATTTATTATATATAATACAATATTACATTGCGTTTGTAGGCATTTTTAGCATGAAATACAGCTAAAAAGAAAAAAAAAAACTTTATTTTAGGGGTCAGAAATGGATTAATCCATTTTATATTGTTTCTTATGGGAAAATTTGTTTTGGTTTTAGAACAACTTTTAAGACAGGTTTGACTTTATGTTTAAGTGACTATGCTTTTGATGTCTTATCAGAATTAGATCACATTTGCAAAAAGAAATCACTTTTATTGGATACTATACTTACTATAACAAATGGAATGTTTTGGATATATAATGAATCATCAGAAATCTGGACTAATTGAGGCTGGACCCATCTGTATTTTCAATTTGTCCATAATTTTAAATATATATGTAAATTGGCATTTTAAGCACTAAACTCCAAGCATACTGTAAATCAAGTTTAGATGTTCTAAGTTCAAGCCAGTATTTTATAAGGAATGTGGGAATACTTACAAAAATTCAAAATATAATTTACATAATCACTCTTTTTAAACAAAAATTACACTAATTATAATTTCAAAATTAAAAAATCATGACTTCTGAACAAATGTTACAACATCAACAACAAAGTTACCAATGAAAGGAGTTAATATCCATTTTTTAATGATCAAATCTTAATTTTTGATATCCAGATTTTTAATGCTTTACTGTACTTGAATACAGTTACTATAACAAATGAAAAAATTACAATAAAAAATTTTATATATAAAAACCTTTCACTAAATTATAGTGAGAGTAATTAAATAATTAAATATTCCTATTTAAAATTGTTTGTGTCTAGTACTACTTATTCGAAGAGAATAAAATAAGTTTATATTTTTATATCAATCTGTGAATCAGTGATGCACAACCTTTTCTGAAGAAGGGCCAAATTAGGATTAGGTTTACTGACTGGGGGCCGGACCTCCAAGTGATTAATGAGATGGCTGAGATTGGATGCTGGCAGCAATCTTCTTGATGTCTGGCGAATGGCAGATATTGAAACAGCCAGCAGATTTTCCAAATTCTCGTTGGTTAACCTGTTCTGTGTTTTGCACTTGTTTAAATTCATAAGCGAAAATGCTTGTTCGCATACATAGGTACTGCCAAACATGCTTGTACAAAATTGAGCATTGTCTTTCAGTTTTGGGAATGATGTATCTGGCAGTTCTTTGTAGAATATGAGGAGATTAGAATTTTTAAACTGTGATTTCAATTTGTCACTGCACTGGATGTCTATCAACTCAAGTTGGACATCTGGAGGGGCATCTTCCACTTTCACATCAAATGGAGTTGAAAAAAGTTGCAGGTAGATCTTGTATTTCTGGAATTCACCAAACCTCTCATTGAATGATGTAAGGAGGGTGTTAACTTGGTCAGAGTAATCCATCTTCATATGTGGGTATTTCTCTTTCATGGCCTTGCAATGTGGAAAGTGTGTAAAGTTCTCTGATTGCATGTGGGACTTGAAAAGTGATAGTTTGGTCATAAATGCATTGATGTTACTTGTCAACTGAGAAACAAGTTGCATCTTTCCCTGCAATCTCAAATTAAGGTCGTTTAGATAAGCAGTAATGTCGGCAAGGAAAGCTAAATCACACTGCCATCTTTGTCCCTCCAAATTCCTTGTAGTGTTCCCCCGTTCTTTGAGGAAAGTGATAATAGGCCCCAATAGCTCCACAAATCTCGAGGACTGTTGCCTTGCTCAGCCAACGAACTTCAGTACAGTATATCTGGGCAGGTCAGCATAATCAGCATCTATTTCTTCAAGAAATGATGTGAAGAGTTGATGGTTGAGTCCATGACGGCGGATTAAGTTCACAGTATCGTAGAAATCTTTCAGCAGACATTCAAATCCCAGTTTCTTTGCACAAAGTTGCTGTTGGTGAATTATGCAATGATATTGGACTAACTCCTTTTGCCTGTCCCCAAGGGGG